TCTGTCCTCCTCTCCCAGCCAAACCTGAGTGACGCTTGCTGAATCTCCATTTCTCCTTCTAATCTTGTTCTTTCAAACTTGAAGCCATTGCAAATCGCTACCATGTAAGATTAAAAAAAAAAAAAAAAAAAAAGCTTTAAGCAGATGGACTTTTTTTTTTTTTTTTTTTTTTGAGACGGAGTCTCGCTCTTGTTACCGAGGCTGGAGTGCAGTGGTGCTATCTCGGCTCACTGCAACGTCCGCCTCCTGGGTTAAAGCAATTCTCCTGCCTCAGCCTCCTGAGTAGCTGGGACTGCAGGCACACGCCACCATGCCCAGCTAATTTTTTGTATTTTTAGTAGAGACGGGGTTTCACCATTTGGCCAGGATGGTCTCGATCTCTTGACCTCGTGATCCCCCCCGCCTCGGCCTCCCAAAGTGCTGGGATTACAGGCGTGAGCCACCACGCCCAGCCGCAGACAGACTAATATGTTGAGAGAAGAAATGGGTTAAATGGCAGCCATCTGCCTATCTGAAAAGGCTGTGTTTCCTCTGGATTGTTCATTTCTCTGGGGGACCATATGGTCAATTTTGTTTTGCAAGCCCCGAGAAGAGACCTCTAGGTCTGAATCTACTGGACGACTTTGGACCAATTTCCTAATGTCTCTGGAAACTCAGTAACCTCATCTGTATAATCAAATTTGCAATCTTAAAAAATTGGTAGAAAAATAAAAATATTAATCGCTATGATCTTTTCTGGTGGGAGAGAGAGAGTTGAATGCATTAAAGAAACATAAGGTGCTGTAATTTGGCAGACTGCTCCCTGCTGTCTATCCTCAAAACTTTGTTCTCTAGAGAGAACTCTCTCTTTCTCTCTCTCTTTCTCTTTTCTTTTCTTTTTTTTTTTTTTTGACTTGTATATTTAGACAACAGTATTCTCAATTATAAGAGAAGAAGATTTGGGCTCAGCCATGACCCTTTGCTAGTCCTCACAGCATTATGGTATCTTGCTGGGACCCAGGCAAGCTGTCTTCAGAGGCATCAAAACATCAGATCCAGAATAAAAACCACACCTCTCTGGAGAATAAGTGTAATTATTATGCCTTTTTTTTTTTTTTTGGAAAGGAAGAGAGTGATAATAGGTATATAAAACACTTTGTAAAATACAATATCAATTATATAATGACAATAATTATCTTCGTAACTCTTAAGCACAATCTGGGGTAAAAAGAAATGATCATTACTGGGCAGCGAATCTTAAGAGAAAATTGTGAGAGGCTGGTCATTGTTAATTTAGAATCAATATGATATCTTATAATTACATAAATAGTTTTAAAACATTGTAAATTAACATAGCATATTGATATAAACTTTCATGTGAGAATTAATATGTCATTTTTTTTTACTTTCATTTTAAGTTCGGGGTACATGTGCAGGAAGTGCAGGTTTGTTACATAGGCAGACGTGAGTCATGGGGGTTTGTTGTACTATTTCATCACCCAGGTATTAAGCCTAGTACCCATTAGTTATTCTTCCTCATCCTCTCCCTCCTCCCACCCTTCACCCTCCTACAGGCCTCAGTATGTATTGTTCCCCTCTATGTGTCCATGGGTTCTCATCATTTAACTCCCACTTATAAGTGAGAACATGTGGTATCTGGTTTTCTGTTCTTTGCCTTAGTTTGCTAAAGATAATGTCCTCCAGCTCCATCCATGTCCCTGCAAAGGACATGATCTTGTTCTTTTTTATGGCTGCATAGTGAGAATTAAAACATAATTAATATTCATGTGTGAATAAAATATCTACCACTTATTGAGTACATCAGCACATCCTTACACTACGTCAAGAACTTTGTATATACTTTTCCACTAAAGCCTTCAAAATTTCCAATGAAAGAGACATTCTTGTTTCCACACATACACATAGAAAAGTAGAGGGTGGAGAGCTTAAAAGCATGCACTCGAGTTCATATCATACGATCAATAAGGATGGAGGCCAGGATTTGAAGCCAAGTCAGCCAAGTGGAATAGCCTATACCACATATACACATTGAGATTTTCCAATAAAAATTAATAGCAGAGTTGTGAGTTTTCAGCTCTTAGTTGAGAAGCAAGTTTTAGTGGTTGTCGTTGGAGTGTGAGCATGCTCCAGGATTAATGAGAATTTGAGAACAACAGAAACCTCCCAGGGACTGAGCCAACCCCTGATTTAGCTGCTACGAAAATATTGTATTGTTAACCCACTTCCCCATGCCTCCGTGTCTTAAAAACAACAAACAAACAAACAAACAAACAAATAGCTCTCACTGCCAATTGATTTGCTATGGAAGTTACTCCTTATTATTTAGAGGATCTAGGAGATACTGGATAATCATAACAAAGAATATAAGAAAGAGCATAAGAAAAACTAACAATTACAACCTCACCACCCAGAGCTAATCATTTTGGGAATGGGTCCTTCCAGGCTTCATTTCCATGTGTCTGTTTGAGCACTTTTGGTGTGTTTGTGGTGTGTTTTGATTCCCAACTTGTTGAACTTAAAATTTTTTAACTTTTAAAAGAAATTTCTTTTTTCACTGTCTTATGGTCAAGGAAAAAACCCGATGTTTTGAATTTGTTGACATTTCTTTTTTTTTTTAAATTGTGATTTAGGTTCTGGGGTACATGTGCAGATCATGCAGGATTGTTGCATAGGTACATACATGGAAAGGTGGTTTGCTGCCTTCATCCCCCCAACACCTATATCTGGTATTTCTCCCCTCATTATCCCTCCCCATCTCCACTGTCCCTCGCCGAGCCCCCCACTACTGACCGAAGTGTGTGATACTCTCCTCCCTGTGTCCACGTGTTCTAACTGTTCAACACCTGCCTATGAGTGATAACATACGGTGTTTGGTTTTCTGTTCTTGTGTCATTTTGCTGTGTGTATATATGTGTGTGTTCGTGTATGTATGTGTGTGCAGGGAGAGGGTGCTAAGTCTAAAATTATATCCTATGTCAGGTAAGAGGATTAAAACATGTAATCAAATTTTATTTAGTGTTCATTTACTCTAAATCTTCATTTAAATCTTTACCTACTTCATTAAACACTTACAGATACATTTTTCTCCCATGACTATTAGGATGTCAATTTCTTCTTATGTTTTAGGCATACTTAAAAATTATGTAGATACCAATACAGTTTTATTTTAAAAGCTGCAAATGCTAAAGAAAGATAAGATCTTGCTCTGTGTACCCATGGATACCATAATGAACAGTTTGACTTACATCTTTGAAACTTTTTTCCTGTGTACTTACGTATAAATACTTTTTTAAAAACATAACTGAAAATATGTTGCTGGATTATTTTATAGCCTGAATTTTTAAAAATTAATTATACATTTTGGAGATCTTTTCACATCTGTTCATATAGGATTTCATCATTTCTTTTTGCTTTGCATTGTGTTTTATTGTATTCTATACTGTGAATATATTATAATTTAATTAATCATTCCCTTACAGGTGATGTTGATGCTGGTTCCATCTTTTTTAGGTTAGGCATTATAAACTATGATAAAATTGTATCTGTTAAGACTTTACAGTATGGATTGCTCACCAACACGATAGGCGTATCTATGCCTTCATGCCTATTCAATACTCAAAATTATGAACATTTTAAAATTTTGCTGATTTGAAGTTTTAAAAAAATGGTATCTAGATCTTTCACTTCACATTTTCTTGAATGCTAGTGAGTTGAGTATATTTCATGTGCTTACTAATTACTTTCCCCCTTGAATTGTCCTTCCATTAGGTTGTTTGTTTTTAATCTTATTGGTCATATAAGTCCTTTTAATAATTTTGTCTCACATATATTTTCTTTCTTTCTTTTTTTTTGAGACTGAGTTTCACTCTTGTTGCCCAAGCTGGAGTGCAATGGTGCGATCTTGGCTCACTGCAACCTCTGTCTCCTAGGTTAAAGATTCTCCTGCCTCAGCCTCCTGAATAGCTGGTATTATAGGCACACAACACCACGCTAGGCTAATTTTTTTTTGTATTTTTAGTAGAGATGGGGTTTCACCATGTTGGCCAGGCTTGAACTCCTGACCTCAGGTGATCCACCCACCTCAGACCCACAAAGTGCTGGGATTACAGGCATGAGCCACTGCACCCCGCCTCACATATATTTTCAAGTATTTTTTCAACTACAGTTTGGCTTTAAATTTATTTTGATGATTTTTTAATGTGGAGTTTTAAAGTGTTTAAGTGACCAAATGCGTCCATTTTTATTTCTAACCTGGCCTTGGCCACAAGCTTGGGAAGCCTTGTCCTACTCTGAGATGATAAGATGATTATTCTCTGTTTTCTCCAAATATTTTATAGGTTTCCTTAGCTCTTTAATCCATATGGAATTTGTTTTAAGGTATATTATAAAATATCTCAACTTATTTATTTCCAAAGAGATAGTCAATTTTCTCAACAAACCCATTACATATTTTATTGTGGATTTAAAGAGCCACTGTTTTCAGAGGTTAAATCTATGCATATATACATAAATGTCCACGTGGGCATGTAGTGTAAATATGTGTACACATACACATACACACAATTCTGATCCACTGACAAAAATTGTTTTACTTCTGGTACTAACTGCTAGATATTTCTTAAAGAACTATGTTTAATGTCTTAGAGCAAATCTCTTCTGTTGCCGCCTTTCAAAAATTTCTTAAATTTCTTTTTCTCAATTAAACTGAGGTTTAAAAAGTCAAGTTTTACTAAAAACCCTGGGACTTTGTAGGAATGGCATGTGTAATTTTTAGGTAAAGTACTAGAACAACTAGCTTGATAAATCACTATGTAGGAAATCAAGGGCAATAGCAGTAATTGGGTATACGGCTGGAGTCGTAACCCAGAAAGAGGCATATTAAATCTATGGGGTCGGGTACGTGTGTATGGTTGGGGGGGTGGGGCAGGGAAAGAAAGAAAAGAGATGTAGGTTATAATAGAGATAATCATCATGATACAGTGGAACAAGCATGTTCATACCTGGCCTCCAAGTTGTCTAAAATCTTTGAGCCTCAGCTTCATCTAGAAGATGGGAATAATCACATTTTTGTAAGGATTAAATGAGATGATAAAGGTGCTCACAGATAATAGATTCCGCAATTCCTAGTCCTATTCTCTTCTCTTTTAATGAGTCATGAGTCATATTTGCTAACAGGTGGTCGCTAAATAGGGAACCACCGGGAAGTTTCCAAAGGCATTAGGCAGCTGTTACTCATTTTCTTTTTCAAACTCTGCTGAAAAGTTATGAAAGGCTCATCTGTTACCAGCCGACACTGGGGAAGTACCGAAGGTTACTCTGAGTTAGTTAGTTGTACAGTAGGGACAAGCATTCATCGCCAAATAGAAGTAGGCCTAACGCTAAGTTTGTTACATTGTAAGTGCTCCAGAAACGCTAGCCAGCATTACAGCTCATAAATATTTGAATCTGTTCTTCCCACTTTTAGGCATTTTCTCTAAATAATGAGTATCCTACAGAACAATCCAAAGGAAAATATTTTCTTTCTTTCCATGAAGGATTTCACAGCAATGTTATATATGCAGATTTTCATAGTAGTGTTATTTATAATATAAAGATTATAACTGGCTTAATTTTCCAATGCAAGTGGAAAAGGTTTAGTAAATTACTATACACTCATTTGGGGGAAAATTATGCAGTCTTTTTTTTTTTTTTTTGGAGATGGAGTCTCACTCTGTCGCCAAGCTGGAGTGCAGTGGCATGATCTCGGCTCACCACAACTTATGCCTCCCGGGTTCAAGCAATTCTCCTGCTTCAGCCTCCCAAGTAGCCAGGACTACAGGTGTATGCCACCACGCCCAGCTAATTTCTGTGTTTTTAGTAGAGATGGGGTTTCACTATGTTGTCCAGGATGGTCTCAATCTCTTGACCTCATAATTTGCCCACCTTGGCCTCCCAAAATGCTGGGATTACAGGCATGAGCCACTGAACCTGGCTTATTATACAGTCTTTAAAGCAAAAATTATGTTGCTATGCAGCAGCTAGAAAAATATTTGTGTTATTATACTAACTGATAAAAAGGCTGAGTATAAACTTAGGTATATACTCTGATTATCACGTTATAAAAATCTTTGTGCACCTGGCCAAGGACAGAAAGAACACAAATGATTTAAAAAATGCATTGAAGAGAACTATTGAACTATTGTTCAATTAAGGTTGAGTAGAATTTTCCAGATTTAACATTTTTGAAGTCATTTTTTAGAAACTCCAGACAGGGCAATAAGTCTCAAGTAAATAACAAAAAGTTTCTTGTGGAACTTTACCTAGGACTGAAAAACCAGCCTCACCAGTCAGGAGGAAAACAAGATTGGCTTCCTAAAGGGAGTGTTTCCGGAAATAGAAAAGGCAGAATTGTTTATGGGCTATTTTGCATCATTTGTGAAATGGGGATGTTGCCCAGGGTTACTTGACTGTATTTTATGAGAAACAACTGATCGATGCTTTTGTACCACTTAAGAGGCCAAGGGGAAGGAGATACAAGTTGAGGAGTGAAAACTTAATGCAGTAGTTCAAACTGGGGTGCTGGAAGGGATTGCTAATAGAGACATGCTAAGTATTTGAGGGTCTGTGTATCCATTAATCATTGCTGTACATACCAAGTGAGAGCTACGAAAACCCAATAAGTACATTTTACAATACTACAGTGGCTCAATTCACTTTTTGTATTGTATTTTTTTTTTTTTTTTTTAAGATGGGGATTCAGTCTTGTTGCCCAGGGTGGAGTGCAATGGCACAATCTGGGATCAACACAACCTCGGCCTCCTGGGTTCAAGCGATTCTTCTGCCTCAGTCTCCCCAGTAGCTGGAATTACAGGCATGTGCCACCACACCTGGCAATTTTGTATTTTCAGTAGAAATGGGGTTTCTCCATGTTGGTGAAGCTGGTCTTGAACTCTTGACCTCAGATGATCCAATTCACTTTGAATTCAGCTTCTTTTCTAGTGATATAAGGTAGCTGAATACAGCAAACATCTATCAGTCAGAGGGATTTTCCTGATAAGAGAAGTACTCCAATAGTGAAATGAGAGAACTTCTCTTCCATCACCAGCAGAAGAAAAGAAAGACATTCTTCTCCCTTCAGTGGTTCCAGAGAACTTTTTGTTACACTCTGGAAAAATGAAAGTCAGGAAATAGTTTTATTTATTCTAAATCTTTGGGTATAAATGATACATTTTATTTTAACAAAAATTGGACACCTGCCTCTGTGTTATCTAAAAATAATGATCCATTTTGGGAGGCCGAGGCGGACAGATCACCTGAGGTCAGGAGTTCAAGACCAGCCTGACCAGCATAGAGAAATCCTGTCTCTACTAAAAATACAAAATTAACCAAGCTTGGTCGCGCATGCCTGTAATCCCAGCTACTCGGGAGACTCAGGCAGGAGAATCACTTGAACCCGGGAGGCAGAGGTTGTGGTGAGCTGAGATTGCAACATTGCATTCCAGCCTGGGCAACGAGAATGAAACTTTGTCTTCAAAAAAAAAAAAAAAGAAAAAAAAAGAAGAAAGAATAATGATCCAAATCTCGTTAAGTAAAGCTTGACTTATTAGCTATTATGAAACATATAAGAATTACCTGCTTAATAAAATTGAAATTCAAAGCACTAAAATCATAAGGCTACAAAGGCTATTATTGGGTTGTTATTGTTGTTATTAATCCTATTTGTGTTCATTGAAAACTTAACTACTCCACACGTAAGCAAGACCTCTTGTGCAATTCACATGGCACAAGATCCAGTAATCCATTCCCACATAGTGAATAAAGGTTCACCAATTTCTTTCTTTTCAGAAAGAAGCCCTTAATAATTCTATAAAGATCTTTCCCTCATAGAGTTATGAGGATGTGAAGACCATGAGTCATTTTACCAATATGGAAACAGAGGCCCAGAGATCCCTGGAAATATAAACATATTCCCAAGACCTTGGAGTCCCAGATAGGCTCCCACTGTGACTCGGCCCACAGGACAGAAGGAATGGGACCACGAAGGCAGAGAAATGCACCTGCTGGCTCCTCCTCAATCTGAACAGAAATGTGGGATACCTGTTCACCATCCACTAGATGCCCCGGAAGCCTTGCTAATTAGATGAAAATAAAGGAAATGAAAAACGGAGTGTTCCAGCATCTCCTATTCAGGTTCAGCTTTTCTGAAGCATGTAGAATTCTAACCCTGGGTGGAGCATTTTGTTTCTGCCCTTCACTTCTGTTATTCTCCAATTTAATCCAATTAGAGTAGAGCACATTCAATCTGATTCGAGTCAATTTGACACAATCTTGCTAACTGTTTCTGTCATATGCTATAGCAGATAAAAGACAAATGCCACTCTCCCTGTTCTTAAATAATTGATATTTTTTTTTTTTTTTAAAAAGTAGCTTGGGTACACGGAATTGAATTAATCACAATCCTTGGTTCATGAGACACAGTCACACTATCGTCATTGAGCCAGAGATGACCTTTGTTTAATTAATTTGCTTAATAACACATGCGCACAGCTACAGCCTAACCTAAGAACAACAGGGATAACCTGCTTCTTACCTTTGGGCTAGACCCCTACCTCCTCATTTAGCCTCTCCCACTGTGCTATGACTTTGAGGTTTGTTTTTTTTTTTATTTTTTTTGAGACAGAGTTTTGCTCTTGTTGCCCAGGCTGGAGTGCAATGGCACGATCTTAGCTCACCGAAACCTCTGCCTCCTGGGTTCAAGTGATTCTCCTGCCTCAGCCTCCCCAGTAGCTGGGAATACAGGTATGTGCCACCACACCCAGCTAATTTTATAGTTTCAGTAGAGACAGGGTTTCTCTATGTTGGTTAGGCTGGTCTTGAACTCTCAACCTCAGGTGATCCGCCCACCTCAGCCTCCTAAAATGCTGGGATTACAGGCGTGAGCCACCGCGCCCGGCTTGACTTTTGTGTTTAGAGTCACTCCTCTCCTTTTTGTTCTAGTTGTTGTACACATAAATACACACCTAACAATAAGCCTATATTGTTTGCTTTTATTGTTTTTGAATAGACTTTGGAGGAAGAATATAGCATATTTATTCAACGTATATTTAATGGGTGCCTTCTGTGTGCCAAGCAGTGTTAGGTGCTAGAGAATAAAAATAGTAAAAAGCAAACAAACAAGTAATAATTTCTGCTGTTATGGACAAATAATAAGCAAATAAACAAACAAAAGGTTTGGTCTGTCCATTAGTGATAATAGCTATGGATAAAACTGGGGCAGGGAAGGTGGGGGTTGGGGTTCTTGCTACAGTGATTAAGCTGATGAGGGAAGAGGTGCGGGCTGTGAATGAACCTAACACAGCTGGAACTGGGGAGAGAACAATGGTTTCAAGCCGGTGACTTGAGCCAGACCCCAAATGTTTTTTTAACTTTTAAATTCCCATGTAGAAATGAAAATATATTCGTTTTCTAAGGTCCATTGAATAGTATTCTCATATGGTAATGTTTTGATCAAGCATTTACAAAAATATTTAGGGCCATTCCCTCGGAAAAGTATTGAATCTTAGGGCTAAAAGCTGCTTCAAATATGAACCAGTCAAAACTTTCCGTTTCGTAGAAGATAAAAATGAGATCTAAAAAGGTCAATTAAATTATATATACATACGTAAGTGTTACATTTTATGAGAAAGGTACTCATGTAGGTTAAATTATTTGCTCTAAACTAGAAAACTAATTGATAATAAAGGTAGATAGCCCGGGCTTCTCTTGAGCTCATGGTGAACATTTCTTCAATAGTGTCCATTATGATAAAAATCTTAGGGCGGCCTACCTCTTAGTCTAACCTCAATTCCTGAAAAAGAAAATTCAGTGCCAGAGATGTTGAAGATATACCTTAAAGTAGGAATCAGTAGTCCTTTTAGGTTGTCTGAAGGATGGAGAATAGATAGAGATGTCAGCAGGGTCCTGTTGAGATGTCCCTTGCCCTCTCTGAAAGGACAAGCAACCAATTACAGGCACCAGAGGCTTGATCCTGGGTGCTCTTGGATTAGAAGAACAGTGTGGGGGGGTCCTGCTACCCGAGTTCAGCCACAGCCTCTTGAGTACCTGCTTTGCCTGTTCCCTGCCTTCTTTTAACCATAGCTCCAAATTCTGGAGCCTCTGCTTCCCGAGCACCAGCCTGCCCTTTGAGCTCATCTTCCTCCTTGCCAGATGGCCAGAGAGCGGAGGTGAAGCTCCCACGTTCTTCCTCACTCATAAGCTGGGGTTCACTCTCGTGGTATCTCCTCCTCATTTGGAGTCTTCTGTTTTTGTGCCTAAAATATAAGTTTTGCATTTTGGGGAGTGCTTGGGCACCTGGAGAATCTCAAGAGCTTGACAGGATATCGGACGGGGCCACAGGGAGTGTTGATCAAAAACCACTCAGATTGTAGGTGGCGTTGCCAAAAAGAATACAGAGGGCCCAGTGAAATTTGGATTTCAGAGAAAAGTATGTCCCGAGTACCGCTATATAGTCAAAAAAGAGTAATAATTATTGCTTGGAAATTCACACTGGACTGGGCATTTTGTATTTTTATTTGCTAAGCCAGACAAGGTTATATTTGTGTGAGCGGGAGGTCATGGCAGCTGCTAGACTTTCCCTCTGTGTAAGATGGCGAAGTGGGAAAAAGAGAGAGAGGAACCAAAGAAATACAACGGTTCTTTAGCAGCAACGTCCCTTCGTGGACCTCTCTTTCCACTTTTGTTCTTTCGTGTCTGAGGGCTGTGTGTGTCTGTGCGTGGCACACGTATGTACATCCCCCGATGTTTTGTAGAACACGAGGAGTGATACTCGGGAGAACTGTTGATAGTGACATTGATTAGATATTGAATAAACAACGTGAGAAGATTAAAAACTGTACAAATGTGGTTAGTTTAAAATCAACACAAATCACTGCCTTCACGTAAACTGCCTCTCCTTCGCACGCAACTGCCACAGGGCGCAATCACAGTTATGTTCGTCCCAGCCAACCTCTACGTGTTTCCAGAGGATCATAGAATGTTACCAAAGAGGTCTAAGAAATTGCCCAATACAACCCTGATGTTTACCGATGAAATAACTGAGAATGAGAGAGAACAAGTTACCAACTGCGGGTCCCACTGTACATCAATATTAATAATAGAAAAATGTTTTGTAAGAGCTTTCTAAGGGCTGGCCGTTTTAGAAGTTCTCTACTTCACATTTTATTCTCACAATGACCCTATAATCATCCTCCTTTTCAGGGGAAGCAAGTTGAGGCACAGAGAATTATGTAATTTACCTACCGTTCAAGGTCATGCAGCTAATGAGTAGAGATTACTATTAAAAACCCAGCGAGTCTGGCCCTGAGACCCATGCACTCAACCAGGACACCCTTTGGCTTCTCAAATGAGTTTATATCACCAAACATGTTCATACATGTAAACTTTCAGAGTTTACTGCTGCTGTAGCATAATTTTGTCCTTAATCACGAGGTCACTCAACTACAGCTTATAGAAAGTTGATCGGACGTGGCTGACATCAATGATGATTTCAGAGTAAAAGCAGTTATCTGCTCACTTATAAACAAACCCTGTTACAGTGAGTCTGTTGCTGTAATCAGAGAACAATTTCATTGCATTTATTTAATGGAATACATAATACCGTGATCTACTATCAAAGCAAATATTCGCAGTGAGATTGAAACAGTTTTATGAGTTTACAGTTTGAGTTGCTTATGAAAGAGGAGGAGGAGAAGAAGATGATGAAGGAGAAGGGAAAATAGTGAAAGGGAGCGAGAAATCAAAATAAAGTTGACGCACTTATTCATTGTTAGTGACAAAATAAAAGGCGTTCTCTTAAAGAGAGGCCCTACTGTCAGCACGCTGTCACCTCAGAGCTGGTGCAGCCAGAGTAGTAATTACATCCAGAAAGAATAACCACCATTCAAACATTACATTTTCTAAGTCTTACATTCCACTTGTTTTTTGTCCTGTCTGTCAAGAGACGATCAACGCTTGCATCTCAGACTCCAGATTCCCTGTTTATCAGTGATGGGAGGATTAAAGACACCTGCTTCTGCCTTCATATCATGTTTTCCCAAAGCCACCCTTCCTTTTGACACAAAAGCCTGCACAACTTTCTCAGAAAGTGAGGCTGGAATTCTCTGAAGCTCCAAGATCAGGGTTTTCAGGGTCTACTTAGGAGACACCAGGACTCCCCAAATCCACTGAAATGGAAGTTGGGAGTGGTGCAAACGTTGTCTTTCCTCTCCACTGCACTTTAGCTGAAGGAGGGATTGATAGGTGTTTTGCAAGTCGACTGTCAAGTACACCACCAAATCCTTTTAGAGACAAACCAGCACGCCCAGACCCTCCACATTTAAACTGGCAAGGAAGCGTTTGACACGAATGCAGCTTCATACAAAACAAATCCACATCCTCTCTTCTTCAGAAAGGTGGCAGTGTTGCCTTGCAGTTTTGACCAAATACAAAGCAGCGGTGAGGTCGCTAGTTAATTAACAGATCAACCGCCTCACCTCACCACGGAAAGGCAGGACTTAATCCACTACCGACCCCGGTGGCTGGCAGACTCATCCCAGAGCGTCAGGGGCAGCGAGGCTTGTGACCGCCTAAGCTCCTGAGTTTTCAACTTGCGTCAACAGTGAAGATCCTAAGAAAATCTCCAGTTGACCCCAGAGGCATCTACAAACCAAGGGCATCTAAGAAAGTCACAGATGAACCTTACCTCCCAGCAGCTACATTTTTCCTTTTTGAAACATCCATCCCACGTGAAACAATTGAGTTGGCCCCATGTAAAGGGCTAAGAAAGCTTAGCAAACCATGCCTGTATCTTTCTGACACCTGTTATGTCAATGTTCACATCAGAGTTCTCCTAAAAGTAACCATCTAAGTAGAAGTTCTACATTATTGAGTGTGTTGTTAACCAGTTTTCTAAAACCAACATTATACACAGAGCTACTGAAAAATAACTTCTGAAGTCACGTGTTGATTTGTCTAAACGTGGAGACCCACACAGACACCTTCCATGGGCGCGTGCACAAACCCTTCTTGAGAAGCAGTTAGATCTCCCGTCTCTCCCTTCCACTCACCTCCACTCAGCGTCCCTTGAGAAGTTTCTCTCTGTGCCACTAACACAGAAATTTTGGGGGAAATTCTCCATTTATAAATATCAGATGGTTTGGGAAAAAATATTTGTGGCACTGGGCTTTCTTTTTTTCCCTACAGTGATGTCATTTTAAATACTTGGTGTGCTCCAAATTTGCTATTTTTACTTCCCGCCAGTGACTTTTTTTGGGAAATACACTTGTTTGGATTAGCTACATTTTAAATGATCCCTGTACCTAACACACAAACATCAGGTTCATCTTCTCAGCGATCATAACCGATATTACACAGTGTCCAAACTTGAAATCCCTTAGTTGTTCATTTCCAAAGTTGCCCCTTCTCAATGTACCCCTCCAAAATTTCTATTCACAGATACAGAGAAAATAAAATAAAAGGATTGGCCTTTTCACAGAAGAACTACCACACTCGACCACCCAAAAGCACTTACAACGGAAGACACAAAAGGCCCCCAAAAAGACAAATAAAATTCTTTGCTTCCACAATGTGCTTTTGGGGAACAGAGTTGAGGTAGACCTGGCAGGCTTGGAAACATTTATTGGAAAGCAGTTCTAGAGTTGAGAATGGCAGAAGAGGAAAGTTCAAAAAGGAATGCTAAATGCCTTAGCCCTACCTGATCTGAACTTGCTCCTAATCAGCAAGGAATGCTCAGACCCCAGAAGTGTCATGTTGAGGCTCAGCAAGCCGCTGGTCCCTTGGCCAGGCGCCCCCTGTTCTCCAGCAGCAACAGGCTCCCGGGAGCCCAGCTGACCGCAGCTAACAACCCAGAATTCATCCAACTCTCCGTGAGCTCCCCTGGGTAGGAGTACAGTGGCAGCCAGTGTCCCCAGAAAACTGGCGCCTCCCCCCTCGCCGTGCGGGGCTAATTAACTCTTAGCCAGCGGGACCCTCCTCCTCCTCGGAGGTTGGCCGGGAGCAGCGGCATCCCAGGCGTTCCTGGCTGATGTCATAGGCTGCCGGCGATTGCGGAGAATCGCCACCACGCCTTTATGAAGGTCCCAACTTTGCCACCCGATACTCTTTACTACTGACAGGCGCTCAGCCAATCAGGAGCGGCGAGCGGGGCCCGGGGGACCCGGAGCCGCCGTAGCCGTCTCGGGAGCCGGCTCTTAACTCTCTGCAGCGGGCCCTGCGGCTGCCGGGGCGCAGAGGGCGGGAGCAAGGCCGGGGACCGGGAATCCCGGAGAGGGGCCCGAGATAAGGAGCCGAGGCCGGGAGGAAAGTCAGAGGGGCTGCGACGCCGCGGGGCCTGCAGGTGGTGCGCGGGGCTGCGGCGGCGCGGGGAGCTCCGGGGGCCCGGGCATGGGTGTGCGCAGCCGGGGCTTCCCCGCCAAGGCTTCTGCCTGCGGGAGGGACGCGGCCGGGATCTCCCGCCAGCCTGCTGCAAAGGCTTCGCGAAAGGGCGTGCGCGCCCGCGGGACGGTTCACGCGGGGCGGTTTGGAAATCAGCTGGACCCCTGAGAAGAAACACCTCTGAAGGACCGGAGCCCACACCTTCCCCTGGGTGTGAGGGGCTCAGTGCACAGGCAGGGACGATTCTGTGTCTCGCAGCTCCAATACCGGACTTGCATGCATTTCCAAGGGGAAAATGGAAAGGCTTGCATTTTTCTAGGATATGCTTTTTTTTTTTTTTTTTTTTTTTTTGGGGGGGTGGGGGTGGGGGCGATGTGACTCGGTGCATCTGGAGATCCAGCGGTGACACAATGCTCCCACCTCCAAACTCCGAGGGAATGGGGAAAGATACCTGAGTCTGAGTCAAAACTGTGAATAGGGAGGGGCTCTGGAGCGGGGGCAAGCCACAGCTCTGGTTGGGCTTAGCCTGGAAAGGCACAAAAACTTTGCCTGCGAATCAGTCTCTCCATAGGGGAAAGTTCATTCCGTAACCGACCCAGAGTTATTGGAGCATCTGGCCGAGGTGTTACAGGCACATGGATCAACGAAATAATACAAAGACCCATCTCTGGAGAAGCTGGTTTAATAGTTGGTGGCTCAGAACATTAAAAAAAACAAAAACAAAAACACTCTATATACGTATATAATTAGGGTTGACTTGCAACCTCATGTGTACGTGGGCTCCCGGGTGTCGACCGTTACACACAAACCTGCCTATGTCTCTACCACGAGTCCTTAAAAGATCAGTCGGTTACAGATGGAGACCCGAGGTGACAATAGTTCATGGGACAACCTCTAATGCCCTGAGTCCCGGCCTCTGCCCCCTCCCCTGTTGCTGAAAACACATTACAGTGTTTAGCCCTTGAGCTCAATCTCTGGATCTGAGCCGGCCTTTTTTGTAAACAAGGTCTTCAGGAATAGACACCTTCTTCCTGATGGGTCAGAGAAGAGGAAGAACAATCCGTCCATGTTCCCTTTGGGAATCTAGTCCTGGCCTGAACGCCAGACTACAGGCTGATTTGGTGTGCGGGAGCATCTTCAGCAATTATGTAACATCATTTTCCCATTCCTGCTATAACAAATTACCGTGAATTTAGTGGCTGAAAACAGCACAGATTTATTATCTTGCTGTTCTGGAGGTCAGAAGTGCATCTCAGTGGGTCAAAATCAAGGTGTCAGCAGGGCTGCATTCGTTTCTGGAGGCCCTAGGGGAAAATCTACTTCCTTGCCTTTTCTAGCTTCTAGAGGCTGCGCGAGTTCTTAGCTCATGGGCCCTTCCTCCATTTTTGAAGCCAGCAATCCTGGGTCAGGTTCTTATTGCATCTTACCGCTTTAATGCTCCCTTCCCCCACCTTCTGCTTCCCTCTTCTATGGTAACCTTACTACAAAAATAAACTCTAGGCCGGGTGTGGTGGCTCACACCTGTAATCCCAGCACCTAGGGAGGCCAAAGGGGGTGGCTCACCCGAGGTATGGAGTTTGAGACCAGCCTGACCAACATGAAGAAACCCCATCTCTACTAAAAATACAAACGTAGCTGCGCATGGTGGCACATGCCTGTAGTTCCAGCTACTCCGGAGGCTGAGGCAGGAGAATTGCTTGAACCAGGGAGGTGGAGGTTGTGGTGAGCTGAGATCGTGCCATTGCACTGCAACCTGGGCAACAAGAGCAAACTCTGTCTCAATAAATAAATAAATGAATAAATAAGCTCTGTCATAAAGTCAGTTTATCATCCTTCCTACTGCCTGGATTCCCTTTGCTGTATAATGTAACCTATTCACAGATTCCCGGGATTAGGACATGAACCTGGGAAGAGAGGGCATGATTCCTCCTGTCCCACGGAGACCTTTCTTTCTCTTCTGTCTCTCCTGATCTTCAGTCAAGCCCCAGCACCCTGGTCTTCAAGGAGAAGGAGGAAGGTGGAGGGAGGTTTGGGAACGTTTGCACACAGGAGTCTGGAAGGGCTCCGACCGGCTTTGAGATGTGTGTGGCAGGGAGGGACTCTGCAGGGAAGAGATTGGTGGGATAAGGAATATTGCAAAATTATCTGAGTAGAGAAAACTATTTTGAGCAACATTAAAAAAAGAAAAAAGAAAAAGCCAAACAGATTTTTATCCCGAAGTCTTTGGGGCTGAGAAGAGATACATGGCAACTTGGCGGAGAATTATTTTTTCAGTGAAAGTTGGGATGAAATTAGCTGAAGCCAGCATTGAATGTAGGGTCTGCATGACCTAGATGAGTTGGCCAGGAGTAAGTTGTTTTCTCTCTGCAGGCCTGGGAGTGTGTGCGTGTATGTGTGTGTGTGTGTGGTGGGGGGGGGTGTTAGAGAGAGAGAGAGGGAGAGAGGGAGGGAGAGAGATAGAGTAGGGGAGCATAGTTTCTTTTTCTCAGTGAGTTTGGGAAATGCCAATAACCACAGTCCTCCTCTATTTTCCCATCACACTGTGGAGCTACTGACATGTCCTGAGATTTATACCCCCATGACTTGGAATATCTATGGTTATAAATATGCTCATATAAAAGCTCATCATTTCTCCTCTCTAGTAGAGCACTTTTTGTGAAAACACATTTTTTGAGAGGGAGAGGATGTTCCCAAGAAGAACAGAACTCCGAAGCTGCTCTCCCCCAAAAAAGCACGCTAATGCAGCAGCGGCACACCACCAGGCTCCGTCCTGCAATTTTGCCACCTGGGCAGTATGGTTCGCTTGCCATGCTACTCCACGACCTTATTCCTTGGAGCCTGGAGTAAGCTTGTGATGTGACACAGAGGCAAGACATGAGCCTTCAGCATGAGAAAGATCTTCTTTGAATCCTGATAACCCTGCACCCTGGAGTGAATTATTGGGGTCCTCTGGGATACTCAACATCTTATCTGTAAAATGGAGTTGGAAATATTTGGTTCCAGAAAGAGTTGGGATGTTTAAATGAAATAACACATGTGGGGTGCCCAGAACAACTTTTCTTGGTGTGCTTTATTTTATTTTTTATTTTTCTGAGACGGAGTCTTGCTCTGTCACCCAGGCTGGAGTGCAGTCACGTGATCTGAGCTTACTGCAACCTTGCCTCCTGGGTTCAAGAGATTCTCCTGCCTCAGCCTCTCGAGTAGCTGGGATTACAGGTGTGCACTGCCATGCCCAGTTAATTTTGTATTTTTAGTAGGGATGGGATTTCACCCTATCGAGACCAGTCAGGCTGGTCTTGAACCCCTGAGTTCAGGTGATCCACCTGCCTTGCCCTCTCAAAGTGCTGGGATTACAGGTGTAAGCCACCATGCCTGGTCCTGGTGTGTTTGAGACCCTTCTTTTTACTTCCACGGCCCCAACCACATCTAAAACCATTCATGAAGATTCCAAGCGATTGTGTCTCCTTCCCCTTCATTTTGGCTTTCTCTCCTTTGCTATTAGTTATCTGTTTCATACATTGCCAGACATTCAGCAGCTTAAAACAATGCACATATTTATTATCTCCCAGTTTTCATGGTCAGGAGTCCAGGCATGGATTATCTGGGACCTCTGCTTAGGGTGTGACAATGCTGCAATCAAGGCGCTGGCTGGGATGGCAGTCACATGAGAAGCTCAATGTCCCCTTCCAAGCTGGCTGGTTGTTGTTGGAATTCAGGTCCTTGCAGGGCTAGAACTCACAACGGCTTGCTTTTTTCCAAGGCCAGCAGGAGAATGTCCTCTTTTAAAGGGCTCACCTGATTAGGTCAGGCTCACCCAGGACAATCTTTCTTTTTAACTCAAAGTCATAGTAATTAGGAACTTTAATTATACCTGAGAAACCTCTTCCTCTTTACTAAATCATGTAACCTAATCATAACAGTGCATCCATCACATTCACTGGTCTCTCCCATGTTAAACGGAAGAAGATTATCCAAGGTGATAACTCATTGAGAGATCACCTTCCAATTCTGCCTTCCACAACGGTGATCCTCACCCTTCAGTCGAAATGGAAGTGATTATGTCCATAGGTGTGAGTTCAAAGTACAGTGTGGAGTCACCAGCTTGCAACTTGACCCCTTACACATCTCCTTTCCTAGGAGTATCATGAGGTCAGCTGCTGGGTCACAAACAGGGGACAGTGCAGTGAGCAGAGGGACAGCTCACCTATGTTGGCCTCAGGACCTCCAGTTTTCCCTGTGGGCCTCTCTTAGAAAATCCCCTCCCCCCACAATGGTCATTATTGTTTGTATGGATCTCATGGTCTTGAGACGTGAACAGTTCTTCAGTACCTGCTTTCTAGTATTCCTTTCATCTAGTTTCTCTTTTTTTCTTTCACACATCCATGAATAGGTAACTTCAGGGAAGTATTTTTCATCTTTCAATAGTTCATTTAGGATGCATTTAGGGGGTCAGCCATGGTGGCTCACACCTGTAATCCCAGCAGTTGGGAGACAAAGGCAGGTGGATTACTTGAGCCCAGGAGTTTGAGACCAGCCTGGGAAATAGGATGAAACCCCATTTCTACTAAAAATACAAAAAAAAAAAAAAAAAGTCAGGCATGGTGGCACACACCTGTAGTCCCAGCTTTGGGAAGTTGAGGTGGGAGAATCACCTAATCACCTGAGCCTGGCAAGTGGAGGCTGCAGTGAGCCATGATTGTGCCACTGCACTTC